CAGAGGAGGCACTCAGGATTAAAATGGAGAAAATAAAATTTCATGCATTTGTGATTTTGTCAGAATAAACCAGGGAATTGTGTATAATTATGATGCACTAATAAAAGTATAAAAATAAAATCTCATATGATTATCACAGTTTTCATGATAGGTGTTCTCAAGTCACCATGCAGAAAAGCAAAACAAAAAACAAAAACAAAAACCATACTAAGCAGGAAGTGTATAGCAATAAACGCCTACTTTAAAAAAGAATGAGAGAAATTTCAAATAAATAACCATATGATGCATCTCAAGATTCTAAAAAGGCAAAAACAAAGAAAACCCAAATGCAGTAACAGAAAAGAAGTAATAAATATCAGTGCTGAAATAAATGAAATAGAGACTAAAAAGAAAAAGAAATACAAGGGATCAATAAGTTTTTATGTTTTCTCTCGTAGGTAAAAATTTGGAGGAGGGGTAGTCAAACTGAGTATAGAAGAAGAACCTTTAGGAAAAGGAAAGAGAAAAAGGGGGAGGAAGGAGAGATAAATGGGAAAAGAGGGTTTTAGGGAGAGTGGATATGATTAAAACATTATATATACATGTGCAGAAATGTCACAGTGAAAACCATTTGTATAATTAATATTAATATTTATAATATAAAAAAGCAAAAAATTATTTTAATCTTGTATTTTGTAGTTTGGAGTCAATTCATAATATATAGAGAGAGAGTTGATAATTTTTACTTTATATGGTCAATAATTTTTACTTTTCAGTTTGTAAGTTATATATGTAATATAATGAATATTTTCATTACTTGTCTGATATTGGCAATCTTTGCATTTTGAAATTTTCACTTGTTTACTCCTCATGAAGAATTAAAAGTCCACATATTTAATTTATTTTGGAAAATGAGTTAGCTTGTCAAAGACCCAGTTAGAAATTTGGGTAAAGACAGAAAAGAATGGCAAACGGAGGGAGGGACCATGAACAAGAAGGAGCAAACAAGACTATTAATAAGCCAAATAAACTAGATTAAATCCCACATAAAAAATAATAGTAGACAGCTGGTTGTATAACTTTATTGCTAATGTGAGTATAACAAAATATCAGGTAAAAATGTTTTATAAAACAAACCCATTAAATATTATTTAGAATAAAATTTCCACAGTGCAAATTTTATTAGAACTGAGAACCAGTTTTTAGGTTCTGAATATATCTGTATGTGAGACAAGTAGTGGGTACTGAGTGAAACCTATGTGTTTACGGAGCTCAAAGGAGGCACTTTTCTCTAGTAGAAAAATGTGTAGGACAAAGTAAATCTAATGTGCAAACTTACATGCTTTTATCTTCAAATGTGAAGATCTAGGCCTTGAGGCAAACCAACAGAAGTTGGGAAACTTGCAAAGGAGTTGGTAAAGGAGGGCAAGGGAATTTGCATTCTCTGCAGGTAAAAGAGAGTGAAAGGAAAGGGATCAAATTGTTGGGAGTTTTGACACCACAGGGGCAGATAGAAACAGGCTGTATTTTGAGGAGACAGGGGTAGTAAAGTTGCCAAACACCTGCACCTTCAAAAAAAAAGTCTCATTGATTAGCCGTTAACTGAAGAGGAATTGCTTATAAAAATAAATACTGAAAATGATTTTTCTTTTTTTACACTGCACCTTGTTCTTTTCCTTCCCAGGACACTCAGCATAAAATTCCAAACAGCTTCTAAGACAGAAAGTGCAGATTGTTATATATGACACATTTTCAAATAACTCACTTTATTTGCTCAAAGTAGAAATAATTCAAAGGAGAGTCATTCAAATAATAAAAATAGTTTGGCGAAAATGTGTAGTCAGCAACCTGAATTTTTTACTTGTTTGGAAACATGGTTTTCAGCTATAAAATAGGCATTCGAATGTGTTAATTGAGCTAATAAGCAAATTCCTCATTTTATTTTCACTAAAGGATATCCATATATAATTGTACTCATTGGTAAAAGAAACACTTTTAATTTTTTATTATTCCTTCCAGAATACTACATTTCTCTTTTTATTGCTAAGCAGAGACATAGCCATTACACCAAGTGATGGGAATCTTTTCCTTTAAAAATTTCCATTATAGTAATACTCTTCATAATAGTGGGTACAGCTATGAAATTTTAACATGAATTTTAAACTTAAAACAAACAAAAAGACTTCATGCTAATGGAGACTTCTTTCTAACTAGAGAAGTCTGATAAGAAATAGACAAACAGCAGCACGAAGAATGAAAAAATGTCTTAGTTTTCCATTCCTGGGCTCAAGGGAACTCTACCAGACCAACTCATTCATTGTCTCAGCCATGAAGGTTTAAAGGCTTTCATCTAAATATTTAACTAGTGAAGTGGGTACATTTTTAGTAATGAGGAAGTTACACCCATGAGTAGAAACTGAAAATGATACTCTTACCCATTCAGACAGAGTGAGTGGACAACTGATGTGGTCTGAAGTTTATTTTTGCACTAGCCTGAAATTGCAGTTTATTGGAGCAGTACAATGTTCTGAATGCCTCAGTAGAGTACCTTATAAATATTTATCACTGCTCTTAGGTGTTGGTGAGCTGAAACCATTTCTATCAGTGGGGGTAAAGCGATTATAAATGCCATTTATCCAAAAGCTTTACAGCAGAATTATTTTGCTTTTTTGCTAGGTTTACTTGTACTTTTGGAACAAGTATGAATACTCTAGTGCCAGTTCATTTGCAAATCTGAAGAAAAAATACTCCAATGATGCATGCAAACTGAAAACACAGGGACTTTTTTGGTCCTGACCACTATACCCTCTGCATCAAGGTTAGGGCTTCAGTTGGAGTGTATCCATAAATAGGAAGCCAGTTGGAAATCTGTGTGTTTTGGGATACTAGGAGAAAATATGTACATGTCTAGGTGTACCTCAAAGTTTTCATGGCTGCAAAACGTAACTAATTATTATTTCCAAAATATACCCTCAATTTACTTTGTACAAATTCCTAGGTTTGCTATGTCAAATTTACTTTGTACAAATTCCTAGGTTTGCTATGTCAATCTTTTTCTTCAGTTTTCAGTCATTTCATACATCCTTGTGAAAAAAAAGACACATTTTATTCTAATATGATAAATTTGTCACATAAAACCCTGAGTTTTATTTTACACAGGGAAAAGAGTATGAATATTCTCCTTGTTCAGTATATGTATCATTAGTTCTAATAAGTTGTATATTATTTCAAAATCAGACTTCTAGACTTTGTAGAAGTTATTTTTTGCATGATCTTTGCAATCCATTTCTAACATTTACTTAAGGATCCCTATTTAAAACAAGCTCTTAAGGAAACAACTCTTTGATTAGCTTATTCTCATAATAATAATATTTACACAGGACTTTATATAAACAAAATTGGTAATTATTTAATTTTATCCTTAAATAACACTACAAATGTTTACTAATATCATCATTCCAATCTACAATTGGCAAAGAAGAGGCCCATTTCTCAAAGGCAAATTGTTCATAAATAGGAAAACCAAAGCTTGAAGGAGATATTTCACTCCAAATCCTTTTATCTTCTCACTTATTTTAAAGATGTTCCATAATAACACTGCATAGACAAAAGCACTTCCAGTCTCTATATTCCCTTAAATTTTCATCATTTGGGGCATTCCACTTTTGTTACTTTATATATTTCTTTAGGACCTTCATTACTTACTTGGTTCTCTTTTTTTTTTTTTTTTTTGTCTCCAACTGCCCATTAGAAATAGCTACTTGGATGTCTCCAGCTTCCCAAATACCACATGTCTTATCATTATCTTTTCTTCTGAGCATGTTTCAGCTTTCATATGCCTATGTCAAAAGTCTTGCCCAACATAGAAATTTGGACATTGTTATCTATATATCCCTCACCTTGTTTCACCCTACAGCCAAGCAATCTCTAAATCGTATGATTTTTCTTGAGAATGAATGCTTCTTAAATCTCAGCATCTCCCTCTCCTACTCCATACTCCCCATAGCTTGCTTCCTCCTTCCTTCACACCTTTCACTGCCACTATCCTACTTTTGCTCACTCACCTGGTTTTTACATCAGCTTCCAGAATGTGCCTCCTTATATCTGGTTTTAATCCCAATCCATTTTTCACAGTGCAGCTAAGGATATCATGCTAAAGATCGATTTTATGTAATCTTTACCTTACTTTAAACTTCAAAAAGAACCCTCCCCTTCAACAAAGAAAATGTCACTTCTCCTTGGCATAACAACTTACCTCTCCATTTCAACTCATAATACTTCTGTGTCTTCCAGTACCTTATATATACAGCATAATTTATGTTCTTTCAAGGAACTGTAGAAAAAAACTTCTAAATTTTTATGGTGCATTAATAAAATTCATTAAAGACAATCTGGAGAATTATAACCAATACCATAGGCGAGTGGTTTAAATAGAAACAACATTTTAATTATTTAAAGATTCTGAACTATATTGTCATTTACAAAATTCATGGAAATTCAAAAATTCTATATCAGGTCCTGTAATATTCATCTAAGTTTTACAAATCAGCATTTTGAATCTAAGAGTAAAAATGGCTTTCCTAAGATAAATATATGATGTGGAAATGGTACTGAAATTTAAGTCTTTTGAACCAAAATCTATAACATCCATTATACTGTATACCACACTACTTTTGGTCCTATCACACAAAGATATATGAATTTACTTAATAGTTAGCCCAACCCACATAAACAGCCAAATTAGATCAGTTAAGTTTTCATTATTATTTGAATTTCTTCCCTTTCATCTGTACCACACAAGAACATCATGCCTGTATTTCATGAATATTCCTATCAAAATTCCTAAGCTATAAAGGCACAGTGTGCATCATTGTTCACTAAAAGTACGTTAAAAAATAATCTATTGGGGTGATTAAGAAAGATAATAATAGACTGATTAAAGGATGGTAGACTATTCCTGACACTGCATGAGATTAAAAGTGCTAATCAGATTTTGGACTTAGAGGACCCAGTTAAATCCAGAGTAGAGCAAGACACAGTACTCAAATCTCTACTTCATTTTCTTGCCTTTCAAAATGCATATTAGCATTTTATCCATGCTTCCTTCAGAGATGAATGATTTATGAAGGCTTCACCAGGTGAGCTGATTTTATATATATTTTTCTTTTTGAGTGAAGAATTCTCTATTTTAGTCTTAGCTGCTGTAAATTGACTGCTTGGCAAAGAATAATGGCAAAGGGAAAATTATTTGAATGTTATATATGAACACAATTAACAACATATTTCTTTCCAACTACAAACTATATAGCAGCTCAATTCTAAATATTCAATATGTTTAGACTTATTCTTTAAAGAAAGACATGTTGAATAGCCATTACCTATATTCTAATTTGGTTATTTAAAATAAATTGTACATTTGGAAAGCAAGGAAAATGCAACTGACAAGCCAGTCTTCTAAGCATAATTGAAATTCATCTTGAATGTAGGAAGATTCATTTCTAAACAGAATACCTTTTTTGAATTCCTATATTTTGCTTTGTTTTCATTTAAGTATTAAAGTACTAATTGCCAAAGTGATTTCTTTATCTACTTTTGTTAGTTGAATTTTTCTACATTGATTTTACACTTTTACTTAAATAAGTGTTTATATTTAACTTTTTGAATCATGTTAATTACCGTTGTGATCTAAACTCAGAAATTTTTGTCTATAACATTTGCAGTTACTTTATGATTTAGGTCAATTTCACGGGCAAAATATTCTGAATATTATATTTTATGTAAATAATCCAAAACAAACTATGCAAAATAGCCTATACAATCTTGATGTCGGTTGATTGAATGTGCCCCAAAATTTTTAGGGCAATATACATTTATGATGGAATATTTCTTTTGCCATTAAAGATTCAGTCAGCTATTCTCATCTTCCTCATTCAGAATATGAATATTCATTTTTACTCTCCTTTAACCTCTCAGAGTTTAAACATCAGTTTGTTTATCCTAGTGTCAAACTATAATATGAAATGAGTATCCTCAAATTCTTTATTTAGAAATATTTTTTTAAATCTCTTGTTTTTTGAGATATACCTTCAATTGCTAGCTTTAAAAAAGTTATGTAAAGTTGATTGACTTTTCAAAGAATTTTTTGTAGTAACACTGTGATAAAATTACAATTAGGATGCTTATAAGATAGTGTTGATGTCTTCTCTCCAGGGACAAAACTATCCAATAACAACATCTTCAAATAAGTCTTTAAAATGATGTATCAAGAAATTAACTGTGTTGTATCAGATGCTCAACTCTTTCATTAAATATGATGCTTCTTTCATGTACTAGTTCTCAATTACTTTTGCAACATGCAGAATAAAAATTCTGAATGTTATCTAAGTTGTAAAGATGTACCTATACTACACAAAATGTACTAGCCTATTATTCTGACCCCTTGAGACTGCCTAGACCTCAGCGAATTTGAGATGGAATATATTGTTAGCACTGATTATATGCTCAATATAAATCTATTCATAAGGTGGTTAAATTAAGCTGGCAAATTAATTTTAAGCATAGTTTATCATTCCTTCATCATTGGCCCGATTGCAAACTTCTTTATGACCATGGGAAAAAATATAGCACTATCAGTAGCACAAGGAAGACCAGCAGAAAATATCAAGTATATAACATTTTTAAACACATGCCTTTTTATTACTTTCAGAATCATGCAGTAGTTTGGATTAAGCTACAGAAGCATATTTAGTAAATAAAGTGAATCTAAAAAATATTTTAAAATAATGATTCTAAAATCATTGAAGGTTTATCCTTTCAAGCTTTTGATTGACATCTCTTTGGAACCCTCATATCTGGTTTACATTAATATGTCAAATGCTTGGTTGTTTTTTTTTACCATTTATTTGAGACTTTTCTTACTCTTTCTTACTCTTTAGCAATGTGATTATTAAATGGGTTTTCCTTGATTCTTGGCTGAAAAGAATGAGTATGTTATAGGGGATCTGCTTTGAGCAATCTAAAACTCTCTGGTATCAGCAGAATTGATGAGATCCATCTCTGGGGAAAGACACAACCCACTGAGTTACAGTGATTTTATGTTTTGTAGGAATTACACACAGATGTTTCTGTGTAAAGACAGAGTTGTTATATATTCAAATACTCCTTCAAACTGAGGTTTAAGACTGAATATTTCAAAATTAAGAGGATGTCATTTAAACCCAGTAAGAGCTGAAAATTCAGTAATCATTAAATCTTCAGATAAGCATAGCTCTTCTGCACCATGGTTATTGAAGTAGTGTGTCTCCACTTCAATAAGTGAAAAGAGAGAGAGAGAGAGAGTTGGGGGGCGATTCCTCTTTAGAAAACTCAAAGGAATTCTCCATTTAATTAACAGGTAGGAAAAGTCTTGAGAAGAAAAAAGTAGTCCCTGAGATATATTCAATTAGCCTTTTGTGCCTGTTCTTTTACAAGTTATCTAATGTTATGTTCAAGTACATGAATGTATGTCATTTTTTCTTTGTTCATGCTAATGGAAGTATCACTATGTAGTAAATTTTTCTTATTTGAAATATGTGTTGAAATGAAGCTCTCTTATTGTAGGCTATACAATTAGTCAAAAAGGAGTGATATAAAATGTAAACATGGGACTAAGTGAAATTTGGAAATGCGTTAATTAAGTTAGATTCTGGAAGTTCCCATTGCTGGTCAAGGTCAGAGTAAGGAAAATCATAATTACATATTTCTCAGATATAACAATTAAAAACAACAACAGCAACAATAACAAACACACACCTTATAGTAGCTAGAGTTCTAATTGTAACTGAAGAGAGTGCTTCCTCCTCTGTACAGTGATATTTAATTCATACATCATTTTGCATGTGAAATTAAACTTGCGCTGTAATACTCATTCCAAAGCCAAAGAGGAAATGAAGCAAAGCAAAATACAATTCTTCAGAGATTTCTAGTCTAATAATATCATGATAATAGCACATGGAATATGACCACATCTTCCAAATCAAGAGACATTTAAGGCTAGTATGAAAAATTGTTTTAGTTATTATAACATGGAGATATTTACTTTTAATTATTTGTTTTTGTTTTCATGCTTATTGGATGTAATCCATGATCCCATGTATATTATGACTTAATGTGTATCTAAAGTAGAATATATAATGAATCAAAAAATTATTGAGCAATAACAGCACAGGTGTAATGCTGGATGTAATAAGGATCATGAAGGTAGTACACAAATAAATGAAGTTGAAAACCAATGGAGCAAGTCAGTAATTAGTCCAACAAGTAGTTATTAACTACTATGTTCCTTCCACACATCAGGAATAAGAAAATTTCTAAATATAAGATAGATAAGATATCCTGTCTTTGTGAATCCAATGTTTTGTCAGCATACTTTTAGTGATGCCTCAGAAGATTAAAATAAACTAAGATTGTATATACTAGGTGCTTTGTCTCTTTTTGATGGACCTCAAAATAAATTTCCTTTGATGCCTAGTTGGCTTAACTCAAGTTAACTATGGAGCATCCAGGTGACTACTACAATCCTAAAATATTCTCAATAGAGGTGCTTCAAAAGAACATGCTGTACAAATGATGGAGCCCAAAAGAATGGACAGATAGATCATAAATAGGAAGATCAAGCTTTAGATACCTGATCAAGTACCCTGCCAGCTACCCTACTTCCAAATATTTCACTGTAATCCCCCTTGCACTTGTCAACCATTTCAGCTCTTAAAAGCAATGTCAAACCCAAAGTGTAGGAAATCTTTGACTCTGGGAAGCTGAGCGTCTAGACAAGAAGAGACTAGCAATCCAAAAGACAACATTATTTTTCTTCTTGTCCAGCATTCCTGGCTTGCTAATTTGACTTTTTCAATGTTTATCACAATATATGGTTAGCTCAAGATAAATAAATATTGGGGAGCTACCATGTGAGTGAGTTAGAACAGTTTAGGTCGAACTCCTTTTCATTGATTTGGCTGTGAAAAAATAAAAAGTAATCTTTGCTGAGTTGTCTTTCTAGAAGCTTGTTCATATAAAAAAGACAATCTGTTCTTAAACCAAAAGAATATTTTTTTTTTAATTCAAGACTTACTGTGCAACAATTGAGAGAGAAGGGAATTGAGGTAGAATCAAGTGACACTGAATTCATAGCAAGTTTCCTCAGGTCTCCCTAGCCTGAAATTTTAGGCTTTCAGTGATTATCTGAATAAAGTTCCACTCTATCTATTCAATTGTGTCTGCTTCAGTGGAGTTTCTGAATCAAAATCACTTGGTGTGTGTGTGTGTGTGTGTGTGTGTGTGTGTGTGTGTGTGTAATGGTGTGGAAGAATAGATGCGTATTAAAAATACATATATCTAGATCCTGAATCTTTAAGCTGAGGTTCAAAATCTATATTTTTAGCTTGTTGCTCAAAGTTTCTCAAGCACACTCTATTTGAGAATCTGTGCTAAACTGTAAACTACTTGAAATTTGCTTTATATTTACATTTTTAAATTTTATTTTATTCATTTATTTATACGTGGTGCTGAGAATCGAGCCCAGTGCTTCAACATATGCTAGGCAAGCACCCTACCACTAACCTGTATTTACATTTTTACATCAAGTCTAGCCCAGAACATAGCCTGCCAAATTCTAAGGCTATTAAGCATACTGCAAATTTTCCCAATTATAATTGAACTCCTTTCACCAGAGTTATTCTATAATAAAGTGAGAGTAAGGGAAAGATTCTGAAGCATGTCAGCAATGAAAATCTTTTAGAAATCCTAAGTGAGAAAATTCTTCCAATGCAGAGTCTGGCCATGGTGGAAAGAGAAATTAAGCAACATCTCAGCATAATGTTTGGACAATTTGCTTTGCCTACCAGTTTTTCTTGAAGAGAAGTGAGGGAGTAGGGTAGATGATCTCATATGAATCTTCAGTCAAATGCAAAATAGACACATTGTAACTGTAAGGGATTTTTGTTTTCAGTTCATCCTTTTTGGCCTGGTGTTACCTAATGTATCAAACTTCATTAAATAATGCCCTCATTTTTCTTTGGTTTGGTAAGTTTTTTCAAGTTATAAACATTATTATTACTAATAACATTATAAATCACACATCACACAATTCTCTATTATCTGA